TTCCTCTCATCCAGTGCAGGAGAAAATGGCATGTAATAGAGCAGAAAGAGACAAGATGGTTGGTGCGGTGCCTGACATTTGACTCATCACCTTCTATGAGCATTACCTTATCCCTGACTACCCCAAGTGGCTGCCTGACGTGTTCAAGCCCCTGGTCTGTTATCAGAGGCTTCCCTTAACTTACTGAAGGGTGTCCCTCTTGATGTGACTAAGCACTCCTCCTCTTCGAATTTGAGACACAGCCACACACTGTGTCTGCTATCTCAGCTGATGCCATTTGATGCAATTATAACACTGATATAGCACAATGATGCACTATGTGTCCACCCCCTAGCCCAGACTGGTCACAGTCATGACAAACTGCCTGGTTTGTATCTGCACTAAAAGAAAGAAGTATCAAGGCAGAGATGCTATGGGCATCCAAGTAGGCATGAGGTGAGTGAGCACCAAGCCAGCAGCCCTGGAATGTAGCCTGGTCCGATCCATGAACCAGGTGACTGCCCTGTACACAATTGTAACAACACACCAATGCAACAAGAGATGCCATCTCACTCAAGTGCAGAATTGAATGTAGAACCATATTGCAAGTAGATTAGAGATGTGCAAATGAGTGTAATGGACTAATATGTGTTGAATGCCAAGGTCACTGGATGTGGGGTGTGTGTGACCACGACCCATGGAGTGTAGTCTAAGATGTTGGTGCCAGGTGTCCAAAATGGAGGTGTGGAGCAAGTGATGAACTGGAGTCACCCAGTACCTGCTCGGACTTCCATGCTGGGAAATTTCGGCATTGGGTTCCTTACCAACCTGTGATAGAGTGGGAACCGGCATGTTAATGAGGGATAATTTTGGTATTAACGAGCATGATAACAAGCAATAATCCCTGTTATTGGCATGTCATTGATCCTGAGCGAGAATCTTTTCTTCACACTTGGAGTTCTGTGGGAAAATGCAACTTGTTTCTCCCAACACTGAGAAAGACTAATTCTCACAGACTTCTCATCATAGCCCAGTCTTTCAATGGTTTAAAAGATTGCTCTGAATATTCCTGCTCTTAATTTAGATACTAGAACAAATATGCTGCCTCTGTAGTATGCTACAGATTCACTATATGAAATTACCTTTCTTCTGAAGGTTAGACCATTCCATGTCGAATATTTGTTACCTGACAGGTTCAGAACTAATTTCTACTCCTCGGCCATTTGAATGTAATGAATGTCTAATTTAAAAGAAACATAGTTGAACCTTTGTTTGAAGCTTTAAGTATTACCTAGGATCCAACTGAGTGACTCACCTGACTTCATCTTATGCCACCTCCTCTGACTCAGTGTGCCTATTTATATCTTCTGAAGAAGTCATAGCTCTTTAAAAAAACACAGTTCACAGCTCTGGCTGGTAGAGCATGACTCACTCATTGCATTTCTTGTTTTTGCTCATTTCTGATGATCAGAATCAGTCTCCTGGAAGATTTGAGATCCGACCTCTTAACCGCATCATTTATCGTTCTTTCTAAGTTTGATTAGGAAAAATGCAGGGCAAAAGTCTCTCTTGGTACAAATTTATAGTTCATGCAGCCCAAAGATGTTTCAAAAATGTAATGCATTATTTCCTTCCTCTGTGGACAGAAATCTTGGAATTTTTGACCATCACAACAGTGATGTGTCTGAACTTCACTCTTCAGAAGCAAATGTTGGAAGTTCCCTCCCTCCAATTCTTTGCGATTCTTGTACTGAATGTCTTACACTTCTGACTACCTGAATGCCTAGATTATAACTTGTTAGTCCTTGATTCCATGGCAACTACCAGTGTTGCAAAGCATGAGAAGATCTCAAAAGTCTGTTTGATAAATTAATTCATTAATCAACCTACAGTTGGAAGCTCACATCATAAAATGTGTGAGTTTTTATTTACCTTAATCAATAACAATTAAACATAATTCAGTCTGTTCGAACAGTCTGAGTTCATTCTCTGTTACCTGACTGCCTGAGCCCTTTCAAAACGTTCTGAGCATTATCATTTGGAGGCACCCTCTTGTCGTCACTTATGGTAGACTAGGAAGTTCATTTTCCTTTCATGTTCATAGCTTATATGTTGATTTTTAATTAGTAAATCTACATATATTCCCTTAACCAGTTGTCTACCAGATTGAAAGGTGCCTTGGTTTTGATCACTTGATCTGAGCGCTGGGAAAATACATTAAGTTTGCTTTTGCTCTCAGGTTCCTGGTTGGCACTTCCTTATGAGCCTTAATAATGGTCTTATTTCAACTATTTTGTTGTTATACTCCACCATTCAGGACTATTTTTATTAACTTCAGGAATTGTTGTTATTGTTGTAGGTAAACATTCTTGCAGAATGGGGAAGGTAGAGTACATAGTCAAATGCATGCCTGAATGCAAAGCCAAGCAGTCAATCTGACAAGAATGGCCACACTGATTGACGGAGAAGTTTTCTCTATATTTTATAGAAGAGGAACAGACAATTTGGTTGATTTGTAGTCCTTAAACACTACCTCAGTAATTAGCCAGCTCCATTCTTGAAGATTTATTCACACACGCACAGACATACCCACTGCACCACACACCTCATTAAATCAGACCAACACCCAATACGCCACACACAAACACTCGTACCCCCCCCACGCACAATGATATATTGGATATCAGTCACTGAACTGCTTCCTTTGGTAGTTCAGTCACCTTACACCAAATGCTGACGTTTTCAGAATCATTGAATTCATAATGGGTAGATAAGACAAGCTCTTTGCAAAATCCTCTTTTTGACAGAAAAAAAGTTCAATATGTTCTGGAAGCAGTTTGTTTTTAAGAGAGCAATTTAATGTTAAAAAAAAATTGCTGGCATTATGGATTTCATCTTCATTGTTTTAGCAGTAATCTGACAGAACAGATCACTGCCTATTGTGGAACAAGACAATGAAATATAACCTATTTGAATAACAACTTGCATTTATGTAGCACCTTTAGCTATAAAAGAAAAATCTGTCCCTTTAGTATTGAAAGGAAAACATTTTGGTACTCATATCGATGAAATGATTTACAGTAGTAGTTTTCAATATCAACTTAGCTACAACACTGCTACAACACCCACAACGTGGAAAACTGTCCAGGTATGCCCTGTCCATAAATAGTAGGACACATCCAACCTATCCAATTACCATCATATCAGTCTGTTCTTTGATCATGAGCAAAATGATGGGACGGCTCATCACCAGTGCTGTTACTTGCAAAAGAGTGACCTGCTTACTGATGCTCACTTTGGATTCTGCCAGGGCCACCAGCTTCTGATCTCATTACGCCCTTTCTTCAAACATGGACAAAAGTGCTGATCTCAAGAAGGAGCCCTAGCAAAACTGAAGTCCATGGTAATTCATGGGGGAAACTGCCTGCTGGATGGAGTCAGATCTAACACAAAGGAAAATGGTTGTGTTCGTTGGCAGTCAATGAACTCAGCTCCAGGTCCTCTTTGCAGGAGCTCCTCAAGGTATCTTCATCTACTTCATCAATTAGGAAAAGCTCTCTCTAGGTGACCTAAAAGAGTTGATGCTGCTTGAAAGGTGTATCCCAAGTCCTGTGAAACCACTGGATACAAGGCAGTGCTTCAAGGCAGTGGAAACCTCATCAGGTGATGTGCAGAGTTGTTTTTGAATGCTGACCTCTGAGTTATCTTCCAGGAAGGAGGTGTCTGACCCAGAGATGGCTAAACAATCCTAAACTGTTGCTTTGCAGAGGTCAGAGGTATTCCAGTCGGCAGAGGAAGCCTTTGGGGATGAACGAAGAGAGTGCAGGGCACAGGTAGGGCAGCTTGGTTGCAGAAGACACCCTCCAACTCAGTGGGTGTATTGAGAGGCAGAGCTTCAGGCAAGATATCTGAGCATCAATGCCAATGCAAACACCCATCATTCTAGGGATATGCTAGCAGAGCATTGTGGGATAACAGAGCTGGAGTTGTTACCACTGGGAAATGACTGCCACTTTATGCCTTAAAGATAACATTGGCACTAAAATTCTATGGGTCATTCAGGGTTTGTCTAGAAATCCACATAACCTCGCTCAGACAGTAGCTATGACTACCTAGAGGAGATTGTGGATGCCATTTACTGCTGGGTTGCCACCTACAGGGCTCTGACTGGGTTTCCCCAGGTGCAGGGGATCATTGACTTTACAGTATGGTCACTATAGCTCCTGTGTGTGTGTCTGTCTGTGTGTGTGTCTGTCTGTGTGTCTGTGTGTGTGTGGCCTTGACTCCGACATCTCAACTGATCAAGCTACTCCAGTGCCTGAATCCTGGGGTCTGCTCTCTCATTGACAGCCTGTTAATTGTCTGTTAATGGTGAAAAAGTAGAGGGCTGTTCCAGCATCCATCAGATATGCATTTCTTCCCGAATTAGGATCTTGACACAACCAGCAAAATCCTGCCAAAGATACACTTATTAGTCATCATTATAACAAGACTAAATTGTCTGTCCATTGTCCATGGATGGACAGAAAATCCTAACCCAGACTAATTTATAATGTTTATATTATTCATATTGCTGTGTGTGTGCCTGATCATTCAGAAAGCTGACAACATAAGGTTTTTTTTTTGTTTTTTGGTTGTCAAGGTGAGAAATTGCATAGTGACAAGGAATGAGCGCAGTTTTGGCACCTTCCCAAATTTCGTACCAAGCACTCCCATGTCAGATATAACAAGGACAAGGTATAGAATAAAGCTCCTCCTACTGAGCTTCACCAATGCAACTGCAGCATTATTATAACTGCTAGTATCGTATTTTATTGAGCACTGCCTGAAAGTTAAGTGGAAGATTAACATTCTCGCAGTTGGTTTGAATTAGTCTGTCACAGCTTTCTCTTATAAAGTTTATAATTGTATTTCTAGCTTACACCACAGAAGATGGCACTTATATTTTGATGAAAGGTTTATCAACTTGCAGTTAGTCAGTACTTTTAGATTTGATTATTATTATTTGTTGCTTCACTTAGATGCAGTACATTCTCAACTGAAGCCCAAAGGCATTCAAATGACTTTGGTAAGTTCGCTCATTATATTTAACCTACTTTATTACATATTATTTTATAACTATGGATATATCTTTTAGATCATTGCAAAGACAATATGTCTACAGAGATTTTAAATAAGTCTATGATATAAATGATATTAAAGGAAGCTTCAAAAGCATGTTTGATATCTGCTATTGATTCTACTGAATGCGGTTTTTGAGAAAAACATAACATGGTTACTTAAGGTTTCTCAGGAATTAATATTCACATTCCTTCTTTAATGTCCAACCTATCATTGTATTTTTCACATTTGGATCCAAGTTTTGATGTGTGCATGTCTATCCACAAGGTTGTTGAAACCCAAGTTTGTTCTTACCTAAAACACCAATATGTTATCTTCTCTTCTACTCTTTAACTTTAGTGCTCTGACAGACTTTTTGTCATGGGAGTATTCAATTAATGCCGCTTTGATCTCACTTCCCTTTTTTGGTCAGATTTCAGATTGGCCTCTGCACTATGGTATGGTTGCACTGTTTCTAAATGTGGATGTCAGTTTGACATGCATTTTCATTTGATGCGCATTTTTATTTGACATGTACTTGTAATTTGAATCCTACAAATTTTGGACTCAATTCTTGTTTCTGATACAAAGTACGAAGTTTCTGCTAAATTATCTACAAATGGTTGCCCAACAAAATTTCATTTTCCAAGTCAATATCCCTGGTTAATTCAGCTGAGATTTAGAGAGGAGAGGACTTTTATACCGAAGTTTTGTCATTTTATACTTCACAATTTTTCACCTTCATCTGTTCTAAGTTTAGATAAGGAGAGATTTAGCGAAAAAGAGAGCCAGCCTGATAAAAATATTAATATTTTTATTAGGATGTGAATTTTTATCAACAAACAATTAACCAAAGTACAATATACCTTTTATAGCACATTCAGTTCATGAGCAAGTTATGAAGTGTTTTATTCAAACGATTAAGGCGATTGGAACCATATCCTGTTATCATCTTTGTTTCAACCAAACCTAGCTTTCCTTATTTCCTTATCTAATGTCTGAGATGCTGTTGACTTCTTATTTATAACCAGTACAAAGTATATTAATCTTTACCATCAATAACCTTTGTGTTGATGAACTTTCTCATGTGCTAGTTAAACATTTATTCCGATAATGCTTCACTATATAGATTGTATTAAGAAATTGAACAGTTCAAAATAATAAATTTGCGCATAAAATTGATTCCAATTCCATGGGATAGGTTTTTGTCTTCACTGGCCAGAAAGTGCTTAGTAATCTTGGGCCCTGCAGAGAGATTGGTTAGTTAGTTGGTCAAGGTCAAAGTGTACTTCCGTGACTGAGGTAAAGTACCCCTTATCATTTCTTTTTATTATGTTAAAGGAACAGTAAGCTCCAAGCTGTTGTTATCACCTTTATAATGGATCTTGGCCTAATACTTCAATTTTCGAATAAAGCAGAAGTGAATGCATAGATGTGCTGCACAGCTATCTTTTCATAGTCATTTTCAGGCTGGCTGGCATCTACTGTCCATTCTCAGTTTCCTAGTGGTTTTGAGCCTGAAATAACTCCATGAAGGCTGGTATCTTGTCACCAAGTCACCCTTTATTAACACATGCATAGTAAATAACACTCATCCAGCTATCTCAGAGTCAGCTCCTCGAGCGAATAGAAAACCTGACACTGCCTGTTTGGCGGCACGGTGGCTCAGTGGTTAGCACTGCTGCCTCACAGCACCAGAGACCCAGGTTCGATTCCACCCTCGGGTGACTGTGTGGAGTTTGTACGTTCTTCCCGTGTCTGCGTGGGTTTCCTCGGGTGCTCTGGTTTCCTCCCACAGTCCAAAAATGTGCAGGTTATCTGGATTGGCCATGCTAAATAGGGATGTGTAGATTAGGTGGGTTATAGGAGGATGTGTCTGGGTGGGATGCTCTGAGGATCGGTGTAGACTTTTTGGAGCAAAGGGCCTGTTTCCACACTGTAGGGACTCTATGAAATATCTGTCAGCCAGGACTCCCTGATTGAATCAGGTTAACTGCCCCAATCAGTGAACTCATATTCTATGAGGTCCGCCAGGCAGGCCTTGTTCCACAGGACCTTCTTGAGCAAGTGGTTTGCTAGGTTGCTCTAAAGGCCAGTTCAGTCAACCATGGTTCACTAGTGACCTTCAGGGAAGGGAACCTGGCATCCCCACCTGTGACTCCAGACCCACAGCAATATGTACGACTCTTAACTGCCTTCTGGAAAGTTATGGAAGGGCAATCAATGTTTGCTGAGCCAGCAAAATCCCATAAATGAATAAAAATAAATGTCAGGTCAGGTAAGAAGGACATTTGTGAACTAGTTTTTAGTTAATCTAACTTTTTCATGGCCTTTTTGACTGGCACGTAAATATGGAGTTTAGTTTCTTGACATGTTGCAAGAGCAATTTAACTCTCACTTTCACTTTCTGGTTTATTCGTCCAGACTTTCAGATTAAGGTTCAGTCATATAGTCTCATAACTTCATACAACATTTCTGTTTTTTTTCTGTCAAGTGTAAAACGTAATAAACATGTATACATTACAAAGAAATATATTAGATAAAAATTATGATATAATGCAGGAGGACTTCATAAATAGAAAAAGCAGGTGGCACAGTGGCTCAGTCGTTAGCACTGCTGCCTCACAGCACCAGGGACCTGGGTTTGATTCCACCCTCGGGCAACTGTCTGCGTGGAGTTTGCACGGTCTCCGTGTCTGTGTGAGTTTCTTCCTGGCGCTCCGGTTTCCTTCCACAGTCCAAAGATGTGAAGGCTAGGTGGATTGGCCATGCTGAATTTCCCGTAGTGTTCAGGATGTGTAGATTAAGGGGATGGGTCTGGGTGGGATGCTCTGAGGGTTGGTGTGGACTTGTTGGGCCAAAGGACCTGTTTCCACACTGAAGGGATTCTATGAAGATATTGTCTATGAAGTCATTGTTTGTTAGTGTAGAAAAGCATTAGCAAATCCTGTAATAAAGGATTATCTTCTTCAACACTGATACCACAAATTGAATTTAAATCATGTACATCAATGAGTGAAGTGGTGCTAATCAGACAGACGTGAATTATTTTCTCATAGTGATCAATATAGGGACTTGAAATATTCTTATTAATAACACACACAACTAATGGTAATTACTATGTTTCTTTTACATAATGAAGAAAATAAGATTGACATCAGAAGACACTAAGGATATATCATCAGACAATACAAGGAACCATCAAGTGGAATTCTGAAAGTGATTATTCTCATATTTCCCACCTACAAGAATCACACATTCTGGGAACTGTTTGAACGGTGGTAACATTTACAGCTTATTTGGAAATGTCAAACCATTTAACTGGAGATGCTTCATTCAATTCCAGACAGGAGCTGCTGAATTTAAATGAACCCTGCTCAAGTGTTAATAACTTGGACATTCAAACGTCTACAGAAACCAACAACAAAATACAGTGCAATGGGACAAGGTTAGAAGACAGCTCACGCCAGTTTGCATTAATTCCAAGCAAAACTGAAAATATGTGCGGCTGGGATTTTCTGAAGCCCAAATGTTTGCAAGTGTTCAATACACCGAAAGGAGTGCTCTTCTTCCTCTGCAGTGCTTCCTTTCTCCAAGGAATGATCGTGAACGGATTTATAAATACAGTGATTACCTCAATTGAACGGAGATTTGACCTACGCAGTTATCACAGTGGAATGATTGCCAGCTCCTATGACATTGCAGCATGTGTCTGCTTGATTTTTGTCAGCTACTTTGGCGGCAGTGGCCACAAGCCACGTTGGCTTGGCTGGGGGGTTCTAATCATGGCTTTGGGATCAGTAGTGTTTACCGTGCCGCACTTTATCTCTGGTCGTTATGTGGTCACTATATCTGAGAATACTGGATTCTGCCAGTCTAATCAGGCTACAATGTGTGACGAAGGTTCATCCAGTTATTCCAGCTACCGATTTCTCTTTATGCTTGGACAGTTCCTCCATGGTGTTGGAGCAACTCCACTCTACACCTTGGGCGTGACCTACTTAGATGAAAATGTCAAGTCAAATTACGCTCCTGTTTACATTGGTGAGTTTAAGGGAAAATGATGATAATATAGTTTTGCTAAGCTGTTTCGATCATTTTGCACATGTTTGGGAACATTTCTGAGAGAAAATCCCACACTCCACTCCACTCCGGCCCACAGTTTGGAAGCATGTTATGATCAGGCCTTAGGTAAGGCCCCCCAACTTGTTATTGTTCCAAGTGGATACCCCAAATCATTAGACTCCCGGTTGAGGACGGATGACCTGCATTCCCTTCTTTATTCACCCACCCCTTGTTTGGTTGTACAAGAGGCTTATAAAATAATGAGGGGCATAGATAAGGTGAATAGTCAAAGGCTTTTCCCGAGGGTAGGGGAATCCAAAACCAGGGGGCATAATTTTAAGGTGAGAGGGGAAAGATTTAAAAGGGACCCGAGGGGTAACTTTTTCACACAGAGGGTAGTGCTTTTCTGGAACGAGCTGCCAGAGGAAGTGGTAGAAGTGGGTATAATTATAACATTTAAAAGGCATGTGGTCAGGTACATAGATAGGAGAGGTTTAAGGGGATATGGACCAAATGCAGACAAATAGGACTAGATCAGTTGAGGAAACCTGGTTTGGGCTGAAAAGTCTGTTTCCGTGCTGTATGCCTCTGAGGTTAATTTACAAAGGATCCACCCTTTGAGGATGCCTGTCTCTCAGACAAAATGAATTTGTATTTTAGAAGGAGCCAAGTTAACCAGGCTTTCTTGAGTTAACGAATGAATGAGTTCGTTAGTTATTGAATGCAAAATTAAATCAAAACACAACACATGGCTTTGTGCTGAAAGGAGCTTAAATAGTCAGCTTCTTTGCTTTGTTTAGTCAGTTAGGTGTTTCTGATGCTTCCCTGTGGCATTCCTTTGGTCCTACACAGACAGCAGTGAATTTCCGTCTGCATTTTATTTTTACGTCTATGGCCCTCCTCTTTTTAAATATATATATATATAGGAATTAAATGTTTAAAATGTCCATAGCACTTTGGGGTTCTGATCCATCATCATGACAGCTATTATGCCTTTAAAATTGCACAGGAAATTTGATCTTATGGGGCTGCAAAGTTTTTAAATTAATTAACTTTGTGTTGTTGCCTGCATATAAAGATCATTACTTTGTACAAATCATTGAGTGGGTTTGCTTTATTGCACATTCCCCAGTCACAACATGCTTTCTTGTATCCCCACCTTTCTCCTCAAACTTTATATTCTGTCCAAGGGCTGGAGATCCCACTAAAATAATGCCACGTGAGTCATCAATCTATGAAGAATGCTCACTTTTGTGAGAAATACAGGCTTGGAAACCTCTGTAATTTTATCGCGTAACTGTAAATTTTCATTTATTGATGTGAAAACAGAGCGGGACTGACAGAATGGGGAATGAAAATCTACCATGGCTAACTAAAAAGTAACAGTGGTTCACCAGGCCACTGCTACTATGAGCAAGATAAACGTGTCAGAGATTTTCTTCATCATACTTGTTACTCACTTAAAAGTGGTTTTAAAAAATGAAGTGTAGTTACCAGAATTTTCAGACTTAATCGTAATGAATCAAAATATGCTTTTTGGACTCCATGTTTGAAGTCAGGTTTTTTTAAGGTCAGGATGCTCTTACTGCTTAACTCTTAACAAATTAATGCTGCTGGAAGCATCCATCATTTATGTGCACACTTGTTGCTTTGCCCAAAGATATCATCATCCTGACTTTTTATTGACAGTAAAATGATCTTAAAATGAACTTCTCTAAGGCGACATTTTATTGCTAAGTAGATGAGGTTTTTCACTATTCAAACCTCAAATTGGCTTTACTGATCATTTGATCAACATGTCAGTAATTCCTGGAGCAATTTCTTTTCAGTCATTCCTACGTTCTTTCCAGTATGAACAATCTAAGATCTGTGTCGGTAATTTATGACTAACAAAAGTGCATGTTACTTTTCAGGCTGCAACTTTGTACTTGCAAGGCATTTCCTAGCATGTTCAGAACCTTATACAGCTCAGAGCCTTTCCTTATTGTGCAATAGGTGCCTTATTTTTCAAAAAAAAATTTGTTTTATTCCTATCAAAGGAACTATAGTAAATTAATAACGTTAAAGGGATAAATCCATCACTTCTCCCCATCTCTCTCTTCAGTTCTGAAAAAGAGTCATATCAGACACTGTTTCTCACTACACACATTGTGCCAGACTTGCTGAGTTTTCCCAGTACATTGTTTTTATTTCAGAATTCCAGCAGGCGCAGCGTTGTATTTTTGATTTGAAGAGTGCTGACTGATTTGTGCATTGTTGACCCCAAAAAAGATGTTCCCTTTATTCTTTCATAGGCATGATTGTCGCTGACAAGGTCAGCATTTATTACCCATCGTTGAATTGCCCTTTGGACTGAGTGGTTTAAAGGGTGTTTTCAGTCAGTTAGATAAAGACTGACATGTACTGCAGGTGATATTATGTTGTATCTCTTAAATAATTAGATTTTGGTTGTATTGAAAAACAGACCGTGTGAAGGAATTGCTGTTGATGTTCAAGATCCTGTCAGTCTCTCTTTGAAATTATCAGTTCACAGTTTTAAAACAATGAAGGGATCAGAATTTTGGCTTTTTAATACAAATGATTTGGCATGTTTCTGTGTACATAGTATGCAGTATAACACTTGAAATATGATGGTCAGTGACTGTCTGCTGGTCGTGACATTTTTATAAGAGGTGGGCATACAGACATGTCTGTAATCACACAAATGCCTGAAATTTGCTCTGCAGGCATTAGACTGAAAATACTCCTATTTCCCTGTCGAGTCTACTAAAAATCAAGTTGCATTCAAATTCTTTGCAAGTTTATTTAGGATTGTATATGACCATCAAGTGGTGTTAAATCAGCAAAATTTCACTTAACAATTGCAACCCAAGGAAAGTACTGAACTCACATATACATGTTTAGGTATCAATATATTAACTTTTAATGCAAAGTAACTAAGCACAGCATACTTAGAAAGCCTGTTTTAAGTAAGGAAGCAATTTTTGAGAAAAAGAAGAATTATGTGTGACGTAAATCAATGGGCAGAATTTACTGGGAAGTGTGCTGTAGCACCCTCCTCCCCCCACCACCAACGCCCGCCCCACCACCAACGCCATCCCCCAAAACTCCCAAAATGAAAAATGATTACAAATCGAGTGAACTTTAAGAGGCCTCCCTCCTCATGATAACACAATTGGCAGGTACTTGTGCAGCCCAATAGCACCGGTCACATTGGGGCTGCTCCTAGAACAGCATCAGGTCCATGGAGATCAGTGATAGTGCCTGGACTCGGGTAAGTTGCAGGATTTCAGGGTGGAGAGGGTTCAGGTGTCTTGGCGATAGGATAGAGAGTGAGGGAATAGGTTTTGGAGCTCGGGCAGGGAGAGATGTAGGGGCATAAAACATCTTGTGGTGAGCTGTCACAGAGAGCTCTTTCTGAATGCAGTATACCCCACATCACCCTTGTTTTTGTAGTTGAGAGCAAAATGGCCTTTGTACTGTAACCTGCCTGCCATTACCGCCAGCCGTTAATGGTAGTGGCGGCAGATTACTACCCTTAATTGCTGCTTATTTGGGTTAAGGATCTCAGTTGGTCTAAGGATAGGCACACTATTGAGCATCTTTCCCACCCCGATTTTATAGGGAGTAGGTCATCGGAAAGGCACTGGGCTCGCCACCTGACCTATTTTATGTATTCCCTGTGCTAAAAACATGCTCAGTTGAGAGAAGGCAAAAATCCAGCAACATGTGCAAATTTTATCCCCGCATCGTAGCCCAATTTTTAAGTAAATTGATATGAATGATAGATTAAATGATTTAGTTGCCGACATCTATGGGATTGCTGGAAAAAAGGCATATTTTGTTGAAACCTTTTTCCTTGCACTCATCAAGATATTGTAGAATAATATCAATTTAAGAGGAAAGCCAACATTTATACTGTATGTGAGGAGAAAGCTAATTGGTTGGCAAGTGGACTGTGATTGACAGACGCATCATCATGGCATGTGTAACAGTGAATGATGATAAGCAGTTAACTGCCAGGCTTTGTTTAAGAATTTAAACCAGGCAGGTTGACTCAGATTGGACAAGGCATTGCCTGAGAAATGAACCAGTGAATGGTTGTTGTTGCTATTGGAACCAGGTGGATCTTGATGCCTATGAGGTCCTTGATTGGGGTTGCCAATCAGGAAGCCTTGGCTGACCAATACAAACAGGAGATTTCGCATCAGTTCAGGGGACTGCCTCTGAGCTGGCTATTCAAAGCCAGTGTACTGTGCACAAGTAAATAAAGCGTGACTTGGTGATGGGATACTGGCCTCCATGGAGTTATTTCAATTGTCACCTGTTCTGTTGAGTTGAAGCAGGAACACTTCATGTCCTAAATGGCCTTCCCCCAAATCCTGTGAAGAACAGGGCCCTGTGTATTAGAGATAACAAGGTGTAGAGCTGGATGAACACAGCAGGCCGAGGAGCAGGAAGGCTGATGTTTCGGGCCTAGACCCTTCTTCAGAAATTTCTGATGAAGGGTCTAGGCCCGAAACGTCAGCCTTCCTGCTCTGATGCTGCTTGGCCTGCTGTGTTCATCCAGCTCTACACCTTGTTATCTCAGATTCTCCAGCATCTGCAGTTCCTACTATCCCTGTGTATTAATCTATGTAGCAGCTAGTACCTACACTGCAAGTCCAGCTGACAATCCTGAATTCATTGTCAGCGTAATGCTTTGCTCACTTAGTATCATCCGGCAAATGTTGCCCAATTGCAGAAACTCATCTAATGTTGGATACTTAGTTGTAAATTATGTAAGCGTGGGCTGGTTGTGTACAGTCAGTGCCTCATTTGTTGTGAACAGATGAGCAGTTGTGTTGCAGTATGATACCCCAAAATAATTGTGTATCAAAAATCACACAGCACTGTGTCCAACGTCAGGTATGATTCTGCAATTGGACGTAATTTTCCAGATGCTCTTGTTTTTCTGTGAAGAATTCTGCTGACAATTA